TTAGGATGTTTTTTCAACAAATGACGCTGGAGAAACTGGTCATCCACAGGCAAACGTGACCCTAGACTCAAGTCTCATCCATTACTTTAAAATTAACTCAAAATGAGTCATGGAGCTAAATATAAAACATAAATCTATACAATCTTTAGTTTAAAACATAGGAGAAAAGCTTCAGTATCTAGGACTAGGCAAAGAATTCTTAGATGACACCAAAAGCATAATTCATTTAAAAATTGATAAATTAAGTTTTATCAAAATGAAGACATTTGCCCTATGAAAGGCCCTGTTAAGAGGATGAAAATATAGGCTACAGAAAAGACATGTTCAAACCACATATCTGACAGAGGGCTAGTAGCTAGAATATATAATGGATTCTCAAAACTGAGCTATAAAAGTCAAATAGTCTAATAGAAAATCGCCAAATGACATGAAGAGACATTTTACAGAAGAGACTATACAAGTGGCAAATAAGCACATGAAAAGGTAATCAGTATGATTTGGCATTGAGAAAATGCCAGAAAAAAGCCACAATGAGATACCACCACACATATATCACAGGTACACTGGCACTGACATCAGCTGTACCAGTTGCTGGTGGGGATATGAAGCTAGTTGATCTCATGTGGTGCTGGAGAAAAGGTGAAGCAGTACCCTGTGTAGGGTGTGGGAGAACACAATGTGTGCACACATGCCCCCATAATCCACTGATTTCTGAGCAGTTTCACTGGCAGGACTTCAGGGCAGCCCACCTCTTCACCTATAGACAAAGGCCTAAATCATTTTTGCTGATGAGTATGGGAGCCTTAGTAATTGTGCTTTTTCAGGATCTGGCAGTGTTTTTAGCATTTCCAAGTCTCACTGGTCTGGAGCAGCCTAGACAAGAGCCCAAAGCTCCCAGCATGGCTACCCTCCATTCTCCCCTCCCAGTCATCAGCAACATCCCCACCCCCCCTCCCCACAGCCTTGACTGGATTTTAGTTCTCCAAATCTGCCACTTGCCCCTCTACCTTCTATCTGTGGGCACACTGACCCTCTTCCTCAAGAAATTACACCTCATTTACTTGTCCTGGCTCTACCACACACCCACCAGAGACTCTGCCAGGCAAGAGGGAGAGCAACTGACAATTTCCTAATTTATATCATATGCATATGTGTGCTGTGTTTAATTGGTCAGTCATGTCCAACTCTGTGGCCCCATGAACTGTAGCCCACCAGGCTCATCTGTCCATGGGGATTCTCCAGGCAAGAATACTGGAATGGCTTGCCATGCCCTCCTCCAGGGGATCTTCCCAACCCAGGTACTGAACCCAAGTCTCTCACACTGCAGGCAGATTCTTTACTGTCTGAGGCACCAGGGAAGCCCAGTGACAAGTATACGCATATACTTATCAGTTTATCTCATTTAAACTGCAACAACATGGAATAAACATTATAATCTTTTTGCAAATTAGAAAAAGAAAATTGAGATCCAGGGAGGTTGTTACTTACTTGGTACATTTCTTTACTTTTTCTATGGAGTCTGGAAGTTGAAAAATAGACCTGAAACCTGAGAACTAAAGTATGATATTACCTTCCACCCCGACATTCCCAAGCCCAGCAGCCATACTGAATTGTCTGCAGGTGGTCATTTTTAATCAGCTGAAAGTATAAAGCCTATCCCTGTCCCATTTGCTTCCTTTCTTCTGCCTTTGCCTGGTTTGCAAGGACAATACCACTTGAGCATGTCCATTGCTCTTGTAAATCATGTTTCCATCTCTCCTTTTTAATCTCTCATTTATTGAGCACCTTTAATTGCCAGGCAATGTGATGGCTACATTATATAAATAATCTTGGGTCTTCAACCCCATGAAGATTATTTTCCCATTAGATGTCAGACTCCAGCTTTGCTCTCATTGACTAGCACCCTATCATGTGTGGACATGTGTGGGTGGTGTGCACTGGTATACATACCCTGAGAATACAGAAGATTGATAGATGTCCTATCTCAGGCCAAAGTTCAAAGACATTAAGGAATCAAATTCTTCTCTCAACTGGTCATGAGCCAAGATTTGAACCCAGGCCCATCTGCCTCCATAGACTCTATACCAAACTTTCCTGCTTCTAGCCTGCTGCTACTGCTGCTAAGTCACATTAGTCGTGTCCGACTCTGTGCAACCCCATAGACGGCAGCCCAACAGGCTCCTCTGTCCCTGGGATTCCCCAGACAAGAACACTGGAGTGGGTTGCCATTTCCTTCTCCAATACATGAAAGTGAAAAGTGACAGTGAAGTCGCTCAGTCATGTCTGACTCTTAGCGACCCCATGGACTGCAGCCCACCAGGCTCCTCCGTCCATGGGATTCCCCAGACAAGAACACTGGAGTGGGTTGCCATTTCCTTCTCCAATACATGAAAGTGAAAAGTGACAGTGAAGTCGCTCAGTCGTGTCTGACTCTTAGTGACCCCATGGACTGCAGCCCACCAGGCTCCTCCGTCCATGGGATTCTCCAGGCAAGAACACTGGAGTGGGGTGCCATTGCCTTCTCTGCCTTCTCTCCTGACTCTCTGGCAAAACTGCTCCATGCAGGGAGGTCAGGAAGGGGAGCCAAAAAGACACAGAGGCAATTTGAGGGAATAGAACTTTAGCAGAAGTGAGACAGGTCATTGAGAACTGAAAAGTTAAAGCCCATCCTGTAAGAGGAAAGCAAACTATGGTATTAACTGATGGAAATTGTTTGACTAGGACCCCAACTCTTTAATGAAACATCTCAACACTCACTAGCTGCATGATTCAGGACTAGTTGCTTAACCTCCTGACTGTCAGCTCCCCACAAAAGACAACCAAAATAATCGGCTGGTCAAGCAAAACCATGTTCTATTGTTCCCTGCCGTTTGGGGAGGTGTAGCTTTTACAGACGCCTGGCAGAAAGGGAGAGGCAGAGATGGTATATTTACAAAGTTTGGATGGTCCAATTTAAGGTAGATCTTTCAATGCTGGTGGCCTAACTGGCCTTGAGAAAAATCACAATGCAATAGGACTGTTGGACACAGTCCAACATATGTGATAGGGATTCACATATGCATGCATGTTAAGTTGGTTAGTCATGTCTGACTCTTTGCAACCCTATGGACCATAATCTGCCATGTTCCTCTGTCCATGGGATTCTCCAGGCATGAATACTGGAGTGGGTTGCCATGCCCTGCTCCAGGAGATCTTCCCACCCAGGAAGTGAACCCGCATCTCTTATGTCTCCTGCATTGGCAGGTGTGTTCTTTACCATAAGTGCCACCTGGGAAGCCCAATAGTGATAGAGTAGGATAATTAAATAGCTAATTTTGAAAACCCACTATGAGGTTAAAGACAGAAAAAGAATTTTTAAAGGGTTTGTGAGACTGTTATAAGCTAATGACCACTCAAGAAAAGAATCCAGTAACCAAGCAACAATCTACATGTGCAGTTAAAGTACAAGGCAATAGATATGGGTCTACATCTTGTTACATGAAGTCAACGAGTTAACAATCTTTGAAGAGTAGCATTTCTGCATGTAGGCAAGACATATAGGTGAAAGGGGACACTCTGTTGAAGCCTGAGATGGATTACCATATTTTAGTATATGCCACCACCCTTTTGCTAATATATATATGATTTAAATAGTGCCACTACAGTCCCAATTAGACCATATAGGTTAAAAGGAGGAGCTAATGATGTAAGTCTTGCCATGTATCCCAGAATGAAAAAGGAGGTGGTCTTCCCCTCTGCCACTTTTTATCTTGTTATAAAAATGTAGCCCTCTTTGTTCTCAGGGATGCACTCCTTTGCCTGCCCACTTGTATCTCTCACAAGCATCCTATGCTAATAAACTCACTCTCTCCCTATCAGTTTGCCTCATGCTAAGTTTTTTCTGTGCTGAGATAAAAAGAACCTGAGCTTCAGTAAGTCCTGCGACCAGTTTCAATGAAAAGACAGTGAGTTACAGTTCCTTAAAGAGTCCAGGATTGTGGTTCAAGTCCTCTCTAAAGGAGTGTAGGTTCAGAGGGAATTGTGAAACAAGTGATTGGAGTGTATGTGGTCAGCTTATGAGTCCAGTTAAGCAATCAGTTTTTCATAGATGAGGCTACTTACTCTGTTGAGAGAAATCTGAGGCATATGTCACCCAAATAAATGAGTTTTTCAGCAAGTTTCTGAAGCAAACTCTAAAGTTATTTGCAGCTTCATCTTCTTGGGCAAGAATATCCTGTAGTAGAAGTCAAGTCCATGTTAACCATACAGTGGTAAAGCAACATGAGTGCAGACAGTAATCTCTGGGTCTGTGTGGTTTCACTTATTATCCCTGTCCCTTGATGTCCTCAGCAGCAGAACTGGGAGAGTGGCGGCAACTACTTCTGAGAGCTGACACTGAGAAATAATGTCATCGGTATAAAGGACTTAGTTAGAATATCTTGCACTTAGTAAATATATTTGTCAGCTCTGGCTGCCATAACAAAGAGCCTCAGACTGAGGGTCTTAAACCACAGACATTTATTCTCTCATGGTTCTGGAGCTTAGACATCCATGACCAAGGTGTCAGCATAACTGATTCCTTCTGGGTCCTCCCATTGGTTGATAGATGATAATATTCTCCCTCTGTCTTCACATGGTTCCGTGTGGATTCTAATCTCTTTTTATAAGGATACTCGTCATATTCAATTAGGACCCACCCTAGTGATCTTATTTTACTGAATTACACTTTTGAGACCTTATCTCTGAACACAGTTACATTATGAGATAATGGAGAATGAGGGCTTCAACATATGGGTTTGGGAAGGGAATGTGGTTCTGCCTTATAAGAGTAAGAATTTGGTAATATTTTCAATATCATTATTGGATGCTTCAACTCTCATGTTTCTAAAGAGCTGGACTATGCTCTGGCTTTGCTGGGCTATCTTTAATTTCTCAGATATGCCATTTGCCTCACCACTTCTCTGCCTCCCCCAGGTGGGTAATTCCTACTCAGAGCTCCTCTCAACCCTTCTTTTCTCCAGGAAACCCTCCCTGGGTACCCTAGACCACAGAGGACTCTTGCTACACACAGCCTTCCTCGGCCCCTTTCTGCTCCAGCACCTGTCACCACTGAAAAGAGAGAAATGGAAAGGATGCCACAGTCATCAGCAATTGAAGCCACCACTAATGGTGAGCAGGTGAGCCCTTGAGGGAGCTTGGGAAGGAAAGAATACCTGCCATCTAGCAGATCAGACTGCAGCTAACTCCATATGGTGAACCCTGAGGAAACTCAGGGAGTGAGGTGAAAACACAGGATACTGGCCCCAGATAGGTGAGGTGCATATCAAAGGAATAATTTCAGTGAGCCCAGACTCTTGCATCTTCCCATATATAGAAAAGCGCTAAATTCCTTAACCTGAAGATATCTGATTTTCCTTTAATTAACAATAATCTTCTGATGTTCAGACTATCTTCCCTTTGTTGCAAAACTTCTATATAACCTGACTCCCACACCTCACCTCCTCAGAGCAATTCCCTCAGGGTAACTTGAGATTCTGCCTCCCAGCCTTGAAGTCCTAAAAATTCCCACCAAATAAAGCATAACTCTCAACTTTCAGGTTCTGAATATTTTTTAAGTCAGCAAATTCAATAGGTGTGGTTCTGCTGGATGTCATCTGTTTGTCAGACTGACTCTGTGAAGCTGGACCTTCCTGCCTGTCTCCCTGCTATATCCCCAGCCCCCAGCAGCACACCTGACAGATGCTCAATCAATACTTTTTGAGTGGATGAATAATATGAATAAATCTCACTGATTGTTATTCACTAATGAGTTGATTCTTTTGGTCAATCCATCCAATTTGGGTCAGAGAAGGAAATGTGGGGAAGATACCTGATGTGGAAATTTGAACCCTGGTTTTGAGTGGGTCAGGAGTTCCTGAGCAACTGTCTTCCTGGGGTGGAGCAGGTCAGCTGTGAGCAAAGGCTGAGAATTAGAGATTGAGCCTGCAGTTCATGGTCAAGTGGGGGTGAAGCCTGGGGAAGAAGCCTGACCCCCACTGCTGTGCAAATTGGCTCAGCCTCAGCCCTTGTTTGGGCTCCCCTGATAGCTCAGGTGGTGCGGTCCCTGGGTTGGGAAGATTCCCTGGAGAAGGGACAGGCTGCCCACTCCACTAACCTTGGGCTTCCCTTGTGGCTCAGTTGGTAAAGAATCCACCCACAATGCGGGAGACTTGGGTTTGATCCCTGGTTTGGGAAGATCCCTGGAGAAGGGAAAGGTTACGCACTCCAGTATTCTGGCCCGGAGAGTTCCAAGGACTATATAGTCCATAGGGTTGCAAAGAGTCGGACATGACTGAGAGACTTTCACTTCAGACCTTGTTCACAAGTGGCTTGCCCTTTATGTGCATCACAAGCATTTTGTCCTTTTTTCCTGCTCTACACCCAGCTTCCAGCATGGCAACAGCATGAACCTGAGTCCTCTCATCAGTTCCTGCTGCTCCATCCCCCCTTCACCCTGATTTTCTGAGGAAACAGAGCCAGTGCTCAGCAGGATGCTGTATGAGATGCTGGCTCCTCCCTCCAGCTCAGCTCCTGGGCTGCTATTAACCTGGTTCTGCTACACTTGACCACCCTGCAGGTGGTATCCTGGAGAGAGCTAGTCTCTCCACCCTCACTTCACACCTGTCTTAGCTCACTTCCTCTTCCTGTCCAGGCCTCCAAAATACAATAACACACTTGAGTTGTCCACCATACAGCCTCACTCAAGATGAACTTTGGCTCACAGTACCTGTGTATGAGTTTGCCTTCTTCCCGTAGTCAGCTCGGGTGACTACAATAAATTACCTTAGTCTTGGTGGCTTAAACAACAAAAAAAACACAAGTATTTCTCATAGTTCTTGGTGCTGGAAGTCCAAGATGAAGGCACTGGCAGCTGTTTCTGATGAGAGTTCTTGTCCTAGATTACAGACGGCTATCTTCTCATTGTATCCTCACCTGGCAGAGAGAAAATCAGTTTTCTCATATCTTTTTTGGAAGGGTCCTAATTACCTCCCAAAGTCACCACCTCCTAACACCATCACCTTGGGGGTTAGGATTTTATCATATGGACTTGGGGGTGGGGGACAAAACTATCCAGTCCATAACATTCTCCATCTGAAAGTCAGAGTGGAGTTGGCCCATTCTAGCCCCATAGCACTTCTCCTGTGCTCCTGGTCAAACTGGGATGGCTTAGGTCTCACTATTCAAGCACTGGGCACTGGGTGCTGACCACCAGCATGGTCCCAGAGGACAGCCTCAGGTGCCTCATTCAGGCTTCACACCTGACCCCCACCTGCCCAGGTTGACATCATATCTGTATCAATGTCCACCTGAAGAGCCACTTCACAGTAAATGCTGTGCTCTCAGCTTAGCTGGGCTGGCCTCTGCTCCCCAGAGTTCCCTCCCCTGGGACTTCTAGTTAGGAGAGGCTGCAGGAGATGCCTTGCCAGAGACTAGTGCCTAGGGAGGCAGAGGCACAGCTGCTGAGCCCTTTCTGCTGTTCATACTCAGAAGGGCAGGGCAGGCACTCTAGCACTTCACCCATGTTGTTCCCGATTGCTGACTTATGGCATGGGCTTCAGTGGCTGGGCCTGGGCATCTCCACCTCCTTGTATCTTCCTTCTAATCAGGTGTGCCCGAGGCCACCAGCTTCTCTGGCAGGATACCCACATCATCGAGCTTGAGACAGTGGAATCCATGCAGGTTCTAGCCTATCCTTGTGGGCTCCCCTAGCTCACATCCTGCTCCTTCCCCATGCCCACCCTCAGCCAATCTTCCAACATCAGGGCCTCAGGAGGGCCTCCCAGAACATCCCAGCCAGCTCCCATAGCCACTGAAACTCTAAAAAACTGCAGTTTTACTGGGCCCACAACTGCTCTGGTTGAGTTTCACTGACAGACACACAAACCAGACCTGTCTGGCCTGAGCTGATCTTCTCCAGAAATTCCAACCAACCCTGGGGACTTGGTGCTCAACTACGTTCCCTAGCTCTCCTCTGCTAACCATCCTGTACACCTGCCCCCAAGCCCCATCCCCCTTCAGGCACATCTTCTGCCCACTGGGCCAGGCTGCATGGATCATGCACTGCACCTGCCTGGAATCTCTGGGGGCAATAATCACTTATGTATTGGGATTTGATGTACCCAAAACAGCCAATACTGGCAACTAATTCCTGCTGCTACAGTCCAATGAGATGCTTGCTCTTTTTACCATTTTACAGCTGAAGAAACTGAGGCTGAGAGAAGCTAAATGACTTGATCCCTGTCACATGATAAGGAAGTAGTAGAGCTTGAGTCTTAGCCCAAAACTGTCTGCCTGCCTAAACCACTTCACAAGACAGCATTCTAGAGCTATACCCAGGCCTTTGACTGGTGTCCCCAGTGTTTCCAGCCTCACATTTCTAGGCTGATACTAGGATCCCTTGTGAGGATCTTGTTAGCATCCCCTCACTCCCGACGGGAATGCCTGCAATCTGGATGTAACCTCCTTTACTGCTTGAGCAGATGTTATAATACCTGGGATAGCACTACGCAGACCAAGCTTGGCTTTATGTGGAGCCCCTTGAGGGACAGAGACGTGGTCAGGAAAGGTCTTCAATCTGAGGCCAGAGGGTGGGGTGCCAGCGGAAAGGAGGAGTCAGAGCAGAGCCCTCCAGGCCACGGGCGCAGCAGAGCTGGAGCCCCGAGGCAGGAAGGACCTTGGCCGATGGGAGGGACAGGCAGGGCTGGTGCCTCCTGGGTGATGTGAGGTAGGAGGGGAGAGAAGGGGAGCCAGAGCACAGGTCACGTAAAGCTGAGGGTTCATGGGGAACCATTGGCTTGTTTGTGTGAGATGAGAAGCTACTGGAGGATTTTAACAGGGGGAAAATATGCTCTGACTTATGCTTTAAATGGTTGGTGGTAGAGAATGGAAACAGGGCTAAGGGCAGAGAGGAGGAGCATGGTGGGGCTCCTCGAGGACCAGGAAAGATGAACCACCATCCCTTTCTCCCAGGCATGCAATGAAAATCCTCTGAGCACACAGCCAGTGTCCCAGGACATCACTCCCTCAAGCAAATTGCTCCCCACCTCTCTGGTTGTCTAGTGAGCAAGTCCCTCGGAAGTCCATGGATAGACGATTTTGTTAGGGAACCATTGATTGAAACCACCCATGCTAGCCAGACACAATTATAAACACTTGCATGAGTTGTAACAAGAGGTTCTGAAAAGGAACATGGTGTTGCCACTGAAACCTATCAGGGAGAATTCAGGAGAGGCTGAGAAGAGGGAGGACATGCCAGCCCATAACATGTCCTGCCAGCTTCCCAGAAGCCCTCTTGCTACAATTCATCTTGGCTTAGAGATGCATGTGCCACCTGGAAAGACCTTGAGTCAGACCAAATATGGGCCAAGCAAGAGGACTGTCCAGAGACAACTCAGAAACTCACCCCATTACCAACTCATTACTGTAAAACTTGAGACTGCGAGCCATGTGGCAGAGCAGTTCTCTTCGTTTCCTTTACCCTATTGCTCTCCCCTCTCCCCCTCTGCCCCCAGGCACCCCTTTTCAATAATGTCTTCTGCTTTGTCAGTACATTTGCCTCTTCAGATAATTCACTTTGGAATATTAGACAAGAGCCAGTTCTTGGGCCTTGGAAGGGGTCCCGTAACAATTCCTGTAACAATTTCAGTTGCTGTAAATTAAAGAAAGAATTTAGAATAATGATAATAAAAATGATCCAAAATCTTGAAAACAAAATGGAGTTACAAATAAATAGCCTGGAGACAAAGATTGAGAAGATGCAAGAAATGTTTAACAAGGACCTAGAAGAAATAAAAAAAAAGTCAATTAAAAATTAATAATGAAATAAACGAGATCAAAAACACTCTGGAGGGAACCATGAGTAGAATAACAGAGACAGAAGATAGGATAAGTGAGTTAGAAGATAAAATGGTGGAAATAAATGAAGCAGAGAGGAAAAAAGAAAAAAGAATCAAAAGAAATGAGGACAACCTCAGGGACCTCTGGGACAATGTGAAACGCCCCAACATTCGAATCATAGGAGTCCCAGAAGAAGAAGACAAAAAGAAAGGCCATGAGAAGATACTCGAGGAGATAATAGCTGAAAACTTCCCTAAAATGGGGAAGGAAATAGCCACCCAAGTCCAAGAAACCCAGAGAGTCCCAAACAGGATAAACCCAAGGCGAAACACCCCAAGACACATATTAATCAAATTAACAAAGATCAAACACAAAGAACAAATATTAAAAGCAGCAAGGGAGAAACAACAAATAACACACAAAGGGATTCCCATAAGGATAACAGCTGATCTATCAATAGAAACCCTTCAGGCCAGAAGGGAATGGCAGGACATACTTAGAGTAATGAAAGAGAATAACCTACAACCTAGATTACTCTACCCAGCAAGGATCTCATTCAGATATGAAGGAGAACTCAAAAGCTTTACAGACAAGCAAAAGCTGAGAGAATTCAGCACCACCAAACCAGCTCTTCAACAAATACTAAAGGATCTTCTCTAGACAGGAAACACAGAAAGGTGGTATAAACGTGAACCCCAAACAACAAAATAAATGGCAACGGGACCATACCTATCAATAATTACCTTGAATGTAAATGGGTTAAATGCCCCAACCAAAAGACAAAGGCTGGCTGAATGGATAAAAAAGCAAGACCCCTATATATGCTGTCTACAAGAGACCCACCTCAAAGCAAGGGACACATACAGACTAAAAGTGAAGGGCTAG